CAGCAGGGCAGACCCTACAATGAGAGGCTACAGGACCTGAACCTGTTTAGCCTTCACAAGAGAAGGCTGAGGGGGGACCTTGTGACTGTCTATAAACTCATTAGGGGTGACCAGAAGGGTTTGGGGGAGACCTTGTTTCCCCCAGCGCCCCCCGGGATAACAAGAAATAACGACCACAAGTTGTTGGAGCGTAGGTTCAGATTAGGCATCTGTAGGAACTACTTCACAGTTAGGGTGGCTAGGATCTGGAACCAACTTCCAAGGGAAGTGGTGCTGGCTCCTCCTCTGGGGTTCTTTAAGAAGCGGCTCGATGCTTACATGGCTGGGGTCACTTGAGTCCAGTTTCTCTCCTGCCCAGGCAGGGGGTCGGACTTGAAGATCTACAAGGTACCTTCCGACCCTACTTCTATGATACTACACTTTTCAGTGGCAAGTTGTGCAATTCCTGCTCTTACAGCACAAGATACACAGTGTACACAGGGGAGCAAAGCGAACAAGTGGAATCTGACTGGGCTCTGTTGATAAACCTCAGGAGGACCAGCAAAATCCATAAGATGTGGGCCCATGAGAGCAGCTCAGTCTGGTAGAAGTGAATTGTCTTGACCACTTGGAATGACCAGCAGTGACTGGAGATGTTCTGAATGAAAAGGGATACATTCTACCATATCGTCTCGATGGTGGGCCCACACATCACGAGGCAAGACACAAACGTGCATTGGGCCATCCCACCAGACAAGAGGGTTGCAATGGCCATCATGAAGCTAGCCAGCCCATCCAGCCTCCGCTACACTGCCAACCAGTTTGGCGTGGCTGCCTTCACCGTGGGGCAGGCGACTCATAAGGTATGCCAGCTGCTTAGGGACACCACTAATAACAAAGTTATCTTCCTGGCGAATCCACAACAAATGATGGATAGCTTTAATGAGAAGGGGTTCCCAAACTGTGTGGGGGCTTTAGACAGCACTCACATCCCAGTGCTGTGCCCTACAGGAAAGGATATGCCTCATGATCCTGTAAGCTGTGGTGGACCACCAGGGCTCGTTCATTAACATTTTTACAGGGTGGGCCAGCAGCGCGCATGATGCACGGGTGTTCCGAAACTCCCCTCTGGCTGACATCACGGAGAAAGGAGACTACACACATGGCATGGAGGAGAGAATGATTCGTGGTGTCACCGTTCCCCCCGTCATACTAGCGGATGCTGCCTACCCCCTAAAGCCCTGGTTCATGAAGCCTTATGGAGGGAACATCACGGACCCACAGATGTTCATTTTTAACTACCACCTCAGCAGTTGCAGGATGGCAGTGGAATGTCTCTTTGGATTACTGAAAGGATGATGGAGGGTGCTTATGTGCTGGCTCGACATGGATGCAGAAAATCTAATGCCCTTTACTTTGGAGCCTGCATGCTGCACAATATCTATGAGATCCAAGGAGAGGTTTTCAAGGACTTGTGGGAACAAGAAGTGCGATAGGTGGTGGAAAGATAACAGAGATGTGAAGCAGCAGCACAGGGAGCAAGGAAAGGCTGGTGGGGCAGCCCTTGTGTGAGATTGGTTTGCACAATACATTGCTGAGAACATCCACTAGGGAGTGCTTTGTTCCAAAATAAATTATTTTTTCTTTTACACTTTAAAAAAATCTGTGTCTGTCTACAGTGGTTTGCGGGAGGGGGGCATTACGCACCGTCACCCACATCTAATGAGCCCATTCCTCTTTGCGGGCTGGGGTGGGTCATTCCAAAAACATTTATAAAACATTCCAAAAAATTCCAAAAATATTTATAAAACAATTCACAACAAGCCTCCAAAAGCCACAGTACTTGGGCAGGAAATGGGAGGGTTCCAATGGGAAACTGGTTTTGGGGAGGGGGCATTACACACCATCACCCACATCTGGGAGGGAAAGATTCACCCACACGGCTTGTCTTTTGAGACTGGGATGGGCTCCTTGTGATCACATACTGATGGAGAGAAAGACCAGACCAAACTCGCACAGCCCCAAACAGTCCAAACCAATCTAAACTAATCCAAACTGGTTGAAAACAGTCTAAACTAGCTTAAATTGATTCCAACTCATCATGGGCGACTGGTGCTGCCTTAGTCGGGGGGGGGGGGGGGGAAACGCATG